TTGAGATGGGGTCTCATTATGTTGCCCAGGCTCGTCTTGAACTCCTGGGCTCAAGTGATCCTCCTGCCTTAGCCTCTCCAGTAGCTGGACCTACAGGAGCATGCCACTGCACCTGGCCTAGGCACATTTTTTTGCCTTCAGAAAATGTATAGTCTAATCAGGGAGAAAGAATGAAGTGTAAATTTAAGAGTCAGAAGGGACAGAGGATAAGGCAGCCACAGAGGGCCTTAAGGTAACATACTAATGAGCTTGGACTTCATCCTGTAGGGAATGGAAAGCCATAGAAGGGTTTTAATAGGGGAGTTAAAAGAGCAGAATTGTGGTTGTGGTTTGGGAGGAGTGGATTTAAAGGGTGTAAAGATGGGTTAGGAGGGTTTTGCAGTAGTCCTGGTAAGAGATGAACTGAATTAAAGCTGTGGTAGCTAGATGAAATGAATAGGAAGACTCTAGAAATACACAGAAACTAAAATCAGAAAGGCTTGGTAATGAAATGAATGTAGGAAGAGGGAGGGACGAAGGGGTAGAGGAGAGGGAGAGAGACATATCTAGCATAATTCCTAATTCTGGCTGGAATGTCCAGGTAGATGGTACTACCCTCAAGACTAGGAATGCAGGATAAGTTTAGGAATGGGGGAAAAACAATTTGGGGTGTGTCTGGGGGGAAAACAGTAGCATCTTTTTATTAATCTAAATAATATACACATATATTATCAAAACTAAAAAATACCAAAGAACGTACATGAAAAATTAGTCTCTTGTTCTAAGCCTAACTCCTCAAAGGAAACTTTAGTTATTTTTGGAAGTTATCTCTATAAATCCAAATGTTTACGCCTTTAGTTCTTGATTTATCAATTTTACAATTTTTTCAATTTTCTACTGACACCCTAAAGTGAAATATGAAGATATAGCAATACTTAAAATTCCCCATTCCCTGTTCTTCCTCCTCCCAATGTTTGATAGCTCTGTCATTAATTTTTAGTTCTACCTAAAGGTTGCAGCTTTAAATAATATACTTAACACATTGACTGCCACACTAGAAAAAAAATATTTTTCCTTGGGGCCATGGTGTTTTATTACGAAAATAGAATAAAAACTTCGAAAACAAAATGATCCTTTCTAATTTGATGAAAAAATTAATAAAAAATGAAATTTATTGACATCTATTCATTTAATCCACGTTTTTAGAATTAATTTGTCAATATTAATTTGTAATAATAATAACATCAACAAGTAAGATTTTCATAAACCAACTGCAGGGTTTTGCCCAGGTTTTACTTCACAAGGCCCCGGGCTCAAAACTAGTATGAGTTAAATACAACTCACATGGCAGTTAATGTGTTAAATCTCTACTTCTTGAGTCACTACCTGACTCTTCTCAATCTAAGAAAAAGATATTAGTATGCCTCCCTTTTCTTTCACCTTTCCCAACTCCCACCTTCTGTCATCTATTCTTTGATTCTGTCAAATTTGTTAACATTTACTGAATAATTACAGAAGTTAACAAGTGTGGGACAGCCAATGGAAAGGTCCAGCAGACAGCTGTACAAACAAGTCTAGAGCTCAGTGGCAATGTCAGGGAGGGAGACTGAGGTTTGGGAGTTAGAAGCACAGAGGCAGTCACTATCAACTGCAACAATGCATGCAGGAGAGTTCAGACAGGGAGAAGAGTGGGTCAAGGACAGAACCTTGGAGAACACCAACATTTACAGGCAGGCGTAAGAAGAGCCATCAAGAAAAAGAGACAAGGTTTAGAAAGGAAATCAGGACAGACTAGTGTTATGGAAGCCAAGGGCTAAGTTTCAAGAATACATATTTCCCGCATACTCACTCAGATATCAGCCAGTATTTTTTGCAATGTCTTCTCCACAGAGGATCATGACTTGATAGCTGGCTAAGTCTTCGACTGACATAGCAACAACTGGCAATAACCAGATTCACGATTAGTATAAAAGAAAACAGGAAAATTGAAAAATAATGATTAAAATAAAATATTCATTAAGTTTTGTTTTATGTCTTTGCTTTTCTTATTTTTCATTTGTTATCCTTATAATTACAGTCTTTTACAAAACAGTATTTTCTAAAACCTGTTTAACATGTTAAGTAGTATAATTACCTTGTGAGTAGTAAAACTATTTGAGTTTACAAATAAACCGACACCTCTACAATTGTAATTTTCACACGAAAGTCTATAAGCCATACATACCATCAGAATTAATCTCAAATCAATAAGCTTTCCTACATTTATTATCAGGACACTAATCATTTCTACATAGAGGAAGAAATGTTATTCAGGTATAAACAAGTGGTTTGGGGTTTTTTTCCCCCAAGATCTGTAAGATATATGCTACTAAATGCACAGGATTTTTGTTTGTTTTTTCCTACATTTTTCTTAAAGAAAAAGTACTGCAGCCAAAAACTCTTTTTCATTTAAGCAACTACTGGCTGAGTGGACACACCAATCAAGCGGTATCTGAATCATAACAGTCCTGATTTAATATTCGTGGCTATACAAGTTATCAGCTGCTCAAAACATGGAAGTTTAAGAGCGATTAATTTTCTTACTATACAGAGATTTCTCACACAATAGTGCTCCAATCCTGTAAATGCTACGCTACATAATTAATTTGTAAAAAGAATGAACCTAAGAGTAGGAAAATGAATTTCTATCCTTTCTGAAGAGAAAACACAAGTTATAGAAAGTAGGTATTGAAAGATCTCATTTGGGCAATAGCTAATCAATTAATGGAATCTTAAATCACCTGGTGTTTGTCCAGCCCATGAGTATGGCATGTTAAAAACCAATCAATGGTAAACAGAATAGCCTTTATTTGATTTTCAGATTTTACAGAAACATCATCCTAATCCTTTTCTGACAAGATCAGGAGATGACCAAACTAACTTTTGTGAACAGGAATCCCTCCCTTTTTGTGAATTGAGGTTCCCTTCCCTCTTCTCGATTCTTCTCCCTCCACTGCTCTGGCAGTTGAACAACATAAAAGAATCTGGAATAGATACCAAAGGTGATTTCGATTCACATCAAGGTTGAAAACTAATATTCTAGAGGTTCTGATCAGTTGGTTTAGAGTGAGATTTCCACCTCAGCCATCATATGTTTAAAAAGTGCCACAGGTGATTCTGATGTACAGTAAAGGTTGAGAATTATGTACAACAAATCACCCTGAAAAGGAGAAGGCATCATATGATTTCAGATTCAAACTGTGCAGCTGATACTACATGATGATCCCAATGGATGGACTAATCCAATCCAATCCAGTTCGGCAAATATGTACCAAAGTTTGGCACTGGGCTGGACACCTGGCAAAGTTGGGGTGTATGGTGCAGGAAACAAGATGCAGGACACTGGACACTTTTCTGTGGATAAAATTTGATGGTATTCAGCTTATTTCCACAGACATTTATGGAAGGATCATGTCACTTCTGTTTAAAATTTTGATTACTACCTAAAGCATTTTAAATAAAATCTGATCTCCTCACCTTGGCTCACAAAGTCCTGCATGAACTCACCAGCCTCATCTCATCACTCTGCCTGTGAGTCACTCCCTACCTCCAGCAACACCAGCCTTCTAGCTCCTCCAACAGGCTTTGCTGTTAAACAGTTCTGCTCAACAGTCGCATTAACCTCTGAACAAACATACCTCTCCCTCTGTCGGGGCTACAAATGCCATCTTCATATATGGCAGCTCCTTCCAATTTTAATTGATTGTCTCCCCCTTCCCATTCCTTAACAGAGCACTCTATTTATTTCCTACACAGTACTTTGCACCTCTCATAATTATGCACTTACTTGTATTTCCATCTTGCCCACTAGACTGTAAGCTCCCTGGGAGGGACCTGATCTGCCTTGTTTACTATTGTGCCCCCAACATTTAACAGGCTGGCACATAGCAGCCACTCAAAAACATATCTGTTGAATAAATGATGAATACGAAGATAAACAAGGCAGTCCTTACTTACATTTGAGAAGTGCACTATCTGGCACGGAAATCAATTCTGCAGAGGAAGGAAGAGGGTAGAAAGAGGGTCTTAAAGGAATTCCACCTTACCAGGTTGAGAAGAGATGGGCAAGGCATTCCAGGCAAGGTCAAGAGCTTAAGCCACAGAACAAAAAAGTGCAAGTGCATGGTATGCTGGCATGATTGTGCAATGCAATAGTGGAGGAGAAATAAAGCCTGAAAGGCCTCAGATAATAAACCAAATGATAAGGGCCTTCAATGCCCCTGAAGTTTAGGTTATAGTCTGTAAACAACAAGGGATATCAGAGGTTTTTAAAGAGAATGACAATCAGATGTGTCTTGGAAAGATCACTCTTGCAGCAATAAAAAGTTGGGGCTGGGGGCTAGATTGTAAGAGGTTATAGTAACAGAATATTTCAGATGAAAAAACTTGGAGCTGGAACAGCCTGTCCCAAAGAAAAACTTCATTTTTCTGCTTTAGTACAAGCCTGACTAGAGAAAAAAATGTATTTTCTAGAAAAATAAGTGTTAGCAGGTACTAGTACAGGTAGGAGCCAGAAACTTGAGGCATTCCTCTATCTCCACTTAGCTAGACCAACCAACAGCTATCTGCAACTCCAAGAAATAAGGACCCCTAATAACACAGGACACAATCATCAAAGGGCTAGAATTCAATGGTTAATAAAAAAAAAAAAATCTCGCCTACCCATCCTAAAAGGGCGATTTTGTCTCCTCTGTAAATATACATGGCAGCACAAGAAACTCAAAGCCATGCCACCAGCTGTCAAGGGTGTAAACAATCCTGACACCTCAAGGGGCGGGCTGGCACCGCCATTTCTTCCTCCATCCGACAGTCCCAAGCTCTGAACGAATTGGGCATTTAACCACCCGTATCAACAACCGGTGTTTATTTTTGGAACAGACGCTAGCAATGTGGGAAACCTAAGGTGCATAGGAGGGAAGACAGTCACCTGTATCGCATCACCGGAAGTCAGTACCAAAACACAAAATGTAACACAAACCGTAAGGAAGGCGGCTGAGGACAAAACAATTCTCAGGCATTGAAGTCCGAAAGGGAGCCCTGTCAGAGATTATGGTGCCCAGGAAATCGCACCAAGGGGGTCGGGGGTTGCCTGTCTCTTTCTCTCGCATGCGCAGCCTGCCCACGCCGGCGCCAGACTCCGCAGGCCCGGGGCCCAACGGAGAAGAGCGCGCGCTCCGGACAGTGGCTTTTGCACAGCGGCCAGGGCTGGGCCAGGCCAGGCAGAGATCGGCGGGGCCAGTGGGGGTCCGCGGGGCGCGGATGGGCGGCACTGGGGGCGCTACCTCCGTCCCCTGCGACTGGGCCTCGCCGAGGCGTGGGAGACAGGGTTCTCGTCGCTCCTCAAGACTGGGCCTGGGACGAGAGGAAGACCTCAGGGCGGGGCCCTTTCTGCCCCCGTCTCGCCCCGGGCCCCGGCTGGCTCTGCAGGATAACGGCGGCCGGCCCTGGCGTCTCCTTCTCGTGCCGCGGGAGCCCCGGTCCTGCTGGCGGTCCCGGCCTCCTCCCCTCCTTCCTCACCGCCTCTCCATTCCCCGTGTCCCCATCCCTGCCGTACGCGTCGTCCCATTACTTGATTAGGTCCCGGTAGTCCAAGAAGGATAAGATGAGGAGCAGTGGATCGGTGGGCAGCGATCCTAGGGTCAGCGGTGTCGACTCGGTCTCCATGGCCGCCATCTTGCCTGGCCCGGTGCAGGTCCGGCCCCGCCCCGACCCCGCCCCCCGCCTCCGCCCCCCGCCTCCGCCCGGGCCGCTCCCCAGCAGCTCGCACAGGTTTGTTATGTAAACGCCGGGCCGGCCCCGCCCCCAGGGCGGGCCCGGGAAGGCTCAGTCCCACGCCCCGCGGCCTGAAGCAGATCCCTGCCCGCCTCTTGGCGCTCGGCTTAAGCCTCCTCTACTCTCTCCTCGCTCTGTGGTTCCGATACCTGCCTGGCTTGGCCCTCTGTCGGTCTTTGTTCCCAAGTCTCTGTCTCAGTCTCCCCAGCCCCCTACGAAATTTTACACCCGTTATCCTCGAAGCCTCGCCCAAAATCTAACACTAACGCCTGTACGCCGTTGGCCCCCAAACCCACCGCTTCTCTTCGTTTTCCAGCCCAGGAACCCTTCGTTTCCCCACCTCAGGCTCCCTCGTCACCTGTGTCTCTCGCGCACAGCAGGGCTGCTCCGAGCCTTGTCCACTCGGTACGGGCGGGGCCGGGGGCAGGGGCAGGGATCAGTCAGAGGCACCAGCGGGAGGCTCTTCTCCCAAACTGGGAAAATGGTCGCCGAAGGTATAACTTTATGCCCCTACCCCTCAAATGAAATGTGCACATGGACTGAGTCTGAGTGTCAGCTGCTCTCACCTAATTTGGTCATCACGGCTATTTTTCAGCCTATTGGGGCAATGCAAGGTGTATAGTAAATGAATTTTTTTCAAGTTTTAAAATTTATTTTGGCCAAGGTTTAGATTCTGGAGAATTAGGCACCCTGAGTGTGAAGGGATGAACTGAGACTCCCATAGGGTGTAACTGATGGAGGCTTGAAGATGGCCACTCTTCAGCTTTGCCAAGGTGGTATGAAAATGGGAGTGGGAGAATTAAGTATTTAATATAATGGGCTGTGAGCTAAGAAATATATCTCTTGCCTGATTTCTTCTTTTCCATTGATTTTCCAGAGGCAGGGTATGAAGGGATTTGGGGAGTCCAGACAGACCTGGACTTCACACACCTGTTACTTATTTTGCTAGTACTGAGGTGTTGGAATAGTTAACTATGCCTAAATTCTATGAGCCTATTCCTCATCTCTAAACACCACCCCTCTGATGGTAGATTAAGGATGGTAATAATTCTTTGTATAAAGTGTCTGGCTGGATACTCAATAAATGTTAATTTCTCAAGCTTCTACATGCATAAATCACTAAGTTTTCCAAACTTCCACATCCTGGAGAAAGCTTCTGCTATTTGGAAGAAAGTTTCTGCTATTTGGAAGGGTAGAATTGATGTTCTTCCTCCCTCCCCCTGCGAAAAGTCCATTTCCTCAATTCACCATACCATTAATGCTTTTTATTTATGGTTTTGTTTAATATTTCTAACTCCTACCACCCACTCAGCAAAAGAAAACAAAACAAAACAAAAAACACTCTGCCTACATCTCTGTACTTCCAAATTGTTTATGTACATATTTAGAGCATTTATTGAATTAGATTCTGAGAAGTTGTTCTCTCTCTCATCAAACTGTAAACTCTTAGTCTTACTCATCCTTCTAACTTCAGGGCCTAGAATAGTATTCAACAAGGAGAAAGTTTAAAATCATTTTGAACAGATGAATGAAGACAGAACAATCATTTCTGTTTACAAGGGAACCATGCCTGTTTATATATAAATGCTTATAAAGACATTTGATCTTAATTTATGTTTGTCTCTATTTTTCCCTTAGATGGGCCACTTGTTTTAAATTCAATAGCTGATGGAAGTTTCAGATACACTGCATTTGCTTCTGCTATCCTATTGTACTTGGGCGTGGTCCAGTTATGATCTGATGCAGAGGACCAAAAGTATGAAGTTACCCTACTGTCAGGCCAGGACTAAGGTGAGGTGAGTCATTGGCTTGGGGCACAAAATTTAAAAGGATGCCAAAAAACTCAGCAACCAAAAGAAATAACATTTTAATGTACTATCTTTAACAATAAATCTTAATGCAAAAAAATTCATGATAAACAAAATACCAAAATCTTAAATAAAAACGGGATCCCACAGTGCCATGTAAGCTGTATTGGAGGCTGATGCACAAGGGAAAAAATCTGTACCCCTAAATACATGTTTAATGGCATAACATTTAAATGGAAAAACTTTCCCCCAAAATGCCAGAAGGGGCACTCAGGTGGAAGACTTGCTTCTCCCATGTGGCTGGACTGAGAGCTTCTGCCATGCCCTCTCACACCCTCTTTTCCAGGCTGTTGGCCTCTGCCACTTCCTGCTTTGGAAAGTGCCATCTGGTTTCCAGCCCCTGCTGCATCAGCCCTGGCCACTCTGGGGAGGTTGCCTCAATTCAGCCTCCAGTTTTCTCCCCAAAAAGGAAGGTGGAGGAAGTTGGGGGAGCAATGTAGGCAGCAGGACCCAGGAGAACCCTGGGCGGTGGCTTCCTATTGCCTCCCACATAACCTCTAATAACAGCTGGAAAGAGAAGTAGGACAAGACAACCCAGGACTTGGTTATTTGGATCCCCTGGGCTAAGGGTGAGGGCAGGGCTCCAGATCCTGTAGATCCTGTAGGAGAAACAGTCCATCCAAGTCTGCTAATTGTTTTGGAAGCTGGTCCCTGAAGATCATGGAAGAATTACACTAAAATATTATTTGCTTGCCATCATAATTCCTATGGTAGACCAGAAAGCACAAAGTTCTAAAAGAAGAGTTCATATGTGGAATTTTTTTTAAAAAGGCTTTTTCCTTTTCTCAGAAGTAGAGATGGACAATGCTTGAGAAATAAATATATTTACATGTTCCCTTTGGAACCCCAGTGTCACCTTGTCTTGACAAGTGGTTTTTAACACACAACACGTACCTCTTGGTAATCACACTGTAGCTTCATTGGTTTTGAGGTTCCCATTAGGTCAATCCCTCAGATGATAATTCATGTCTTATCAAGTGCAAGCATCTGGGCTCAAGACTCTGAGAGATCGAGAGGAACAGGGTGCTGTGCCTGCTCTTTAGAAGGTGAGATGCACTCACTAACAGTGTGGTTGGGGACAGATCCAGATGGCCCTGTAGCTTCATTTTCTCCACTGTTTTCATGGTTTAGCGACTAGCTGCCTCAGCAGATCTGAGTTAGCTTGGAGACAGAATGGGCAGTCACCAGATGCTCTAGAGGCCCCTGCTAAATGGCGGCCTAGATGTGTCCTTGAGCCACCCACCTTATGTTCAACAGCATAGTGTAGGGTCCTTCTCTGTTGAGCTCTCCTTGAGATGTGTCCAGTCTCACTCTGCTCAACCTAGGCATAGCTCTCAGCAGGACAAGGGAGCTGGCAGTTGGGATGGGTGATGGGATGAGGAGAGGGGGTTGTGTACACTCTCCTCCTTCTCTGCTCATACTTCCCCAACACAATTTGTATTTATACCACGTAGTGTTGGTGGTGGGTGTGTGCCCTTGGCCCCTGAATGGCAGCTGCATGCATGAAGCTTACACTCCACTTTGTCTCAGTGCCAAGTGTTTTTGGAATCATCCTTGTCCACCTGGGCCTCCCCAGGGTCTAAAACACTTTGTCCTAGGAGTCCTGTCATACACGCCCTGGTGTCAGCTCTCCTGGTTCGGCTGAGATGGCCCTTGCTTTTGGGAGCCCAGGAGATGGGGGTGGGAGGACCACGGTGGAACTGCGGGTCACTAATTCCCCCAAACAAGTGCATCAGCCTGGGCCAGGGCTGGAATGCTGCCTGTGATTGATAAAAAGGAGACCTGCCTCTGCAGAGCCCAGGAAAATTCAGGAATATGCTTGTGCTTTGTGGCTGAAAGCAGGGAGAAGGATAAAATTGCAGGGATGAGTGGAGATTAGGGGCTGCCACTGCTGCTCAGAAAGGCAGCCAAGCTGATGGGCTGACACAAAAATCTGGAGTGGATTTAGCTGCTCTTGTGGAACAAAAACCACAGACAAATCCATGGCTAATGAGAAGCCTGGGACAGACTTAAGAGATATATAGGTACCGTTCCAGCAGCTATATGTACTAAATCCTGGGACTTGGTTCCCTGCTTGTCCCTTAAGAGAGACTTTAAATATCCCGAAATTTGCCAAACAAATGTCTGTTTTTTTTATTTTTGTCTGTGACACGCTTCTTGTTACCTTGAATCCTGTATAATTGATATGAACCTTCTGGGTGTATGGAGAGTGGAACTGCTCATTGGATACATTTAAAATGCCCCCTATTGGTGGCTTCTAATATTAGGGGCTGTAATCCAGAAGCCTGCCAAGGCTTCTCAAGATTGCATTATTGAAATGTCTCCTACAAAGCAGAGAGAAAATGCAGTATTATTATCCAAGATGGAATACGGGCCAGGGTGCTTGAACACCACCACCCATCAGTTCAGTAGTCCTGGGGGCTGGGGAAGCCGGGAGTGTCTGGAATCTTACTGTGTCCCATTGCGGCTTAAACAGCTAAGTGGCCACTGCTATTCTTGCAATGTCTGATATGGTAAGAGTGGCTGAACTATAATTGTGCCATCAGTGACACTTGGTATGCAGGCTTGGATGGGCTAATGTTATTCTTTTTTTTTTTTTTTCCAATACTCTCTATACCTTCTCTACCCTTCTCTATGCCTCAGGAGGCTGAGCTCCGTGAACTCCTTCACCTGGGCCCACTTGTCATCTGGCTTCCAATTGGGTTCAGCCAATGGAAATCCTCAGTAGGAGGTTGCAGAAGGGGAGAGGAAACAGAAATTTGGGTATTTCATCTCCATCTGCTGGGCTTTGGGTTGAGGCCGTGTTCCTTTGTGGAGGCAGCTCCTGTTGGTGCCCTCTTTGCTACCTTTGGTCCACCTGGCTCTGATAACACCATTACCCTCCCACTGCTCTTTCAGGGTTGGTAACAGGTCCCCTCTGTTACTAATCCCTGAGCACCTCGCTACCTCTTATTGGTTCCTTTGTCCAGCTTATACCTCGGATAGTAATCTCCTCATTGAATTCTGTTTTGCTATGTTGCTTTGAATGTTCGTCTGGTTTTTTTGTTTGTTTTTAGAGACAGAGTCTTGCTC